TTGACGTCTCGCCAGATGACTTTTAATTAAATTACCGTAATTACAGAAACCCGAAGTCACGGCCGAAGGCGTCTTTTCGATCGAAACTAGGTGTTAAAACGGTTATGCATCATGGTCGCGACGGTGTTACTTTGCAATCGTTTGTTTTATCCGTAACTCATGCCCGATGGTTACAACAAAAACAAGAAATCGAGCGGGTTTAGGTAATCCGATATCTCAAATGTGAATATTATGTCTCTGATTTTTTATATCTTGGAAATAAATACGTCGTTATGTTATAAATGTAAGAGATGTATCTTAAAATAATGCAAACTTTATAAGTTTTTTGCTGTTTTATCACAGATTTAGCAATGCAAATTTTCTGTTTCTCATAAAAAATACGTAACATAATTTCTGAATCTGAATATATTAAATATAGAAATACGAATAACGTTATTTGTGAAGTTCTATTTTAGATAATTTTCAGTTCAATAACATTTTTAATTTAAATATATTAAACGAAAGTTTTAAAACAAAATTTCATATAGATATGTTTCAAAGGACAAAGCATATATCGAAATTAATTTTCTTACATATAATTATTTGATTTTTGTTAAGAAGGAATCAACTTGGAGTTAAACAAAAAGTACCCAAAATAACGGAATCGGAACAATTATTATTTTATAATTATATAATAACTTTATATACAATATACATATTATATATTATAAATATTACTTAGGTATATCATAAATTGTAAAATAACACTGTACATATTCTTAACATTCTTCCATAAAAAAAATCGTGTTTTTCAAATATATGACATGAGCATAGCCAGGATTTTATTTATAAGGGACGGAATTACAGCTGAGACTTTTGAATACGGGAAGGGGGAGGGGTAGTAATCGAATATTATAGACAATTGGATTTATTTTGTTTTATATTATTATTTTTATAATTAATTACTGATAGGTAAATCACAAAATTTTATTGCATACTGTCAACGAGTAATGTTATTATATTTTTATTCTTTTTTAGAAAAGCTTTATGAGGACTACCATAATATATATATACGAGTTAAGACTAAATCTTTTTGAGCTCGTGCATAACAAATTCTTCTTTATTTTCGACATTTGCGTTTGTATGAACGTAACGTACATGCGTGCGCGCATGAAATCCGAATATGCGGTCTCAGTGTTCGTGATAACGGAATATTGCGAAGAGTAGCCGCATATAATGAAGAGCGTTTTGTGGTGCTACCGGCTAACCTCAAGTCACGCAGTATATCGACACGAATGGCATAATTACAGAGAATTTTCAAGAAAGCACTACCGCCGTGACGAAATATCGTACAAGCAAATAACGCGAGTGCCACACAGTCGTTGCGCATATAACACAAGGAATTTGCGCGTGTGCATTTTTCGGCTTCTGTAAGAATAGAGGCATGCATAACCGCTGGCGATAAGCAAAGACAAGATAAAAAAGAATTTAACACAAAAAAATGTAAAAAAATTAATTTTTCTTTGCTTATTTAATGCTTTCGAAAGATTGACGAAAGTTTATCACGTGTTATTTAATCCCAAAAACACACTGCAAATTCAAGTGTGTGAAAAGACTAAGAAGTAACTTCAATATATGTGTGTGTGTGATTAGTTTTTAGTAAAAAAAATAAAAAATAATAAGCTGTACTCTCTCTCCCCCCTCTCCTCTCTATTTTTTTTCCTCCCTCCCCTGCCTCTCTCTCTCTCTTTTTCTTTTTCTGTATACAAATATAAATTTACGCATTTAAACTATAATATAGTTTCATTACATGGAAAACTAAATGACATACATACATTAAAATCATTTTTTACACTTATTTAGATTTGCAATGTTTGTCCTACAAAAGCATATACAATATTTACAAAAAAATTTATGGAATTTAAAAATACATATAGGGTCCTCTTTTAATCAATTCAATCAATTTTTTTCCAAATTGAATAATATACTTTATTGAATAATATACTTTAAAATAATAAAAATATGCATTTTAAAGTACACACATTCAATAGTTTATTTTGTCATTACCTAATTTGTCGTCTAATCTTCATCGTTTTTCATTAATGATTACTTAATTAGCTGACGACTATGCTTTCAACTAGTTTTCTTACGTAACAGAGAGAAAGCTTATATTTGCCAAATTTGATAATTTAATTACTGCTTCACAGATTATATTGTATGTTTCTCTGAAGCTTCCTCTTTATAAATGCTCAAATTTTTTTAATGGATTCGTATCAGGAGACTGTTGGCCAGTCCAAGATCATAATACCATTTTCGAGATAGTGCAATTAGCTGTCAGACTATAATGAATGACAATAAAGATCGAATGACATCTTAGACACTGACAAAAGATTACTGAATGCACTTTAAAAAATAGTAATATATTTTTAAATCTTGTTGCAAATATGATATATATAGATATATGTATATGCATTCTTGTAGAATTGACTGTACGTGTTATAGATACACAACACTGAGAAACCTATTTAGTTGAATTAATTTCTTGTTTGGATATGAATAAACAAATCCTTGATTGATGCAATAAAATAATTTAGTTGAAGCCAAACATTTGGTTAAGAAATTAATTGATTCAAACTAAAATAGATTTCTCAGTGTGCGAACGTAATATAAATATTCAAATAGTCAAAATATTTTCGTCAAACAAACTAATCACAAAAGATCTATTGCTATGTTGTAATGTCAATGAAGAGATGGCTAATAATGTAATGTAATGTAATTGTAATATTTGACTTAACGAAATAGCTAAGACACTTACTCTGGAAAATTATAAAGTAATAAATTCTTTATAGATTTTTTAAATTTAATTTAATTTTGAGAGGATTATTAGTGTTTCAGATTGATTGCGTTAAAAGTCCAAAAATAATCGGCGCGCAGTCATGTAATAAAATTATTTAACATAAAATACATAATAATGTAATATTTGAAATATCTAACTTTGATCGTGATTGGCTGTCTCTATTGATTGATATTATAGTTTGATTTATTCATATAAACGGTCCTGTTTCTAAAATCTTGATTAAAAAAAATCTTTGTCTTAATTTAATTATATTTTAATTAAATAGTATCTTCTTTGATGGAGGAATAACAGATATATTGTATTAGTATTATTACATTGAGAGATATATATATATATAGTTTCTCGCTCAACATTTAATCTTTTTTTTTTCATGAATGAATTCCTGGAATCAGCGCGGATGCACGAATCGCAGAGAAGGTCAGGGACGCGTTTGACTGGGGGAGAAGCCGATAAGTAGGATAGCGATCCCAGCAACCGACTATCGTCTTATCATTTCGGTCTCAGCTGTTCGCCCCACGCAGCGCATCTCCCGATTCTCGGAAGGACCTCGTAAAAATATCATACAGGATGCGAACCGCCCGCTACAGCGACCTGTTATGCTGCTGCCACAAGGACTCGCATTTCGGTCCTTCATCTCTGGGATGCACATGCTACACGATTCATGGAAACGCAAATCAAAACATTTCACGTTCGATACACCCACATTTCTCTATATACAGAGCAGGTACAGATTATAATTGTTCTTCATTGAGCTTAGTTCATTTCAGTTTTTGCCAGTGTATTTTTTTATTACTTCTCATACAATACAGATCATTCCAATAACGTTACAGTGACATTGTAATGTTCCAACAATATTATGTAATAACGTTGCACAGTAATGTTGCTGTAAACTTCTGTGTTATATGGATATCTCTATTGCATCAACTTACAATTGGATGTAATCAATGCATCAAAAGAAAGTCGTGTAACAATAATGAAGACAATTGTTCTTAGCGAAAGTTAAAAATGAGAAATATATTTAAAAATTGATATAGCAAGCAAAAGCATGTAGGATTGGAATAATATGTAATTTGTGATGTTATTTGCATATTTAATGTAAATTTAAAATACTGTGAGCTATTAATATTTAAATATAGAAGGAAGATTGATGTACTCAATAAGATTATTTAAATATGAAGAAGCGTGATTAACTGTAATCTGTGTGTGAGAGAGAGAGAGAGAGAGAGAGATCAATTTAAACAGGATTTTTTATAGATTTCAATGGAATACAATCTCTTCTTCGTTCCAAAAATGGTTATATGGCATCATGAATATCTCTTAAGTACACCATATATGTGCACATTACCAGTTATAAAGAACGGTGATCACCAAGTTAGATCGCTAGTCTTTCCACCGATAGCCAACAAAGTAATCGTTACGATTTCGTATGCTGGCCGTGTTACTGCCTTTCGGCTCCAGCCTGGAGCCCTGATTTTTACGAAAAGCGCCTTTTATGCTCGTCGATCGAATCGTCCTCCTGCATTTAGCAGACTTCGCTCCTGTTTAGGAGAGCGCGTAGAAGGTCGAGGTGGCGCCGATGCACCTCATAACGAACCTTTTCAGAGCGGCGTTCTTTATCAGCTACGTGATCGGTTCGTCGCGGTATTAACTCGGAATTTACTAAGTTTTGAGAGTTTGGGGCCGCAGGGAACGAAAAAAGGACCGCACGGGGGACAGGGAAGGGCATCGCATCGAGGCGAGAAAAGGGGCGGCTCCGCGGGAATCCGTCGACGCGTACCGCGATTTTGCATGCGGTCATTATCTTCTTGCGAGGTCTTTCTCTCTTTTTCGCATTCTCGCTCTCTTTCTCTTCTGTATTCTTTTTCTTTTTTTTTTTTTTTGTTCAAGCGGCCCCGCCGCGAACGGAATTACTCGGGAATTCTATCGACAAATCCCGCGACCATCTCCCGTTGGCTGGCGCAGACATTATCATCACATTAACCGTACTACAGAGAGAAAGGAAGAGGAAGAGAGAGAAGAAGAGCTGGTCCAGCCCGGTCCCAGACAATCCAGCGACGGTTCCTGTCCTACTGACGCTGCTTTCGGAGAGATGAGGAGAAGAGGAAAGAGGAAAAAAGCGGAGAAAGAGAGATAGAGGGAGAGATGGAGACTCGATGGGTACAAAGACCCACCAGACGGTAGTACTCGTTTCTTTCTGTTGCCTTTCATCCTTCCCGGCACTTCCTTCCCACCGTCTACTCTCTACCTTCTCCTTCTTCTTCTCTTTCTTTCTCTCCCTCTGTACCTTCTTTTTCTTCTTTCCTTTCATCGCGCACGGCACTTCCATCGCTCGAATCGGAATTCCGTTCGCGATCATCGACTTATCCACAAAATCAAGTACGTGGTTCCAGGGATGTGAGACCAGGCGAAAGGAATATGAGAAATTTTGGACAATTATTTTAACTATATTAAACCTTTATAAGTATCGTGGAATAAATCTATTAATCACGGAAAATCGGATCGGAAAATATGTAGTCGAAATTATTAATAGAAATATCTTTTAACCCTTCGAGATCCTTCTTTTTAATATTTGTATATGTAAGCACCAATTTTTATGTTCAGATACACATTTCTAAATATCTGCAGATACACGGAAAGAGCGATTTTGTTGAAGTACCTAGCTATTTAACTGGATGCAGATTTAAAAATAATTGTGTCAAACTACCAAAATAATTATGTAAATTAAAGCACAATGAACAATGCTGCAAAAAACGTTGACATTCAAGCACACAATCAAGTTGAGTTGTTCTAATTATGGCAATAATCCAATAAAATTATTTACAGATCCGCAATAACTAAATTTTTAGACAGTTTAGAAAAACCGTTCGGTGGTATAAATACATCTAAATACATTTTGCTAAATATCTGTGTCCATCGAAATACTGAAAATAATGTACTTTTTACATTCCCAAGGAAGAATTCTGAGGGAATACGATCATGATGACGATAACAACATCCTTCAAGGACGCGAGAAATGAAATCCCTCGAAGAATATCACCTCGACGAGTATGTCCGCGTTTAATTGGACGGAGCCCGATCCCCGCGTATCATAAGACCTCGACGTCGGCGAGGCGGTCCTCGCCTCATCAATCTGGGTGCTGACTAGGTAATTTCGACATGGACGGCACACAGGGGATCCAAACGTAAATCGCTATCTCGCGAGAGGATAAGTCGATGGAATCGCGCGGATTAACAACTGCGGCAGAATCGACTGCCTTCGCGTCGCCCGAGAGATGGGCAGTCCGATTTCGTGACCAAGCGGTTACTTTCTACTACTAGCAGCTCCGCCGTGTTAATCGGAATAGGGAACACCCGGAGATCTTCCTGTCCGATCCTCTTGGCTCAACGATCATAAATTTATATACGCAATATTTGTAATAACAAATTTACAAACAAATGTGCGGAAAGTGTAAAACTTTCCTGCAAATTATACTATAATAAATAATATGTATGATTAATTTATTAAGTAAATTAATCCTTTACGGACGGGTAATCCTTATTGGAGTCGCCCTATTTTGTTTTGTAAACTGTTCGTTTAATTATTATGAAACTTAACCTATGAGGTAATTTGAAAACGCTTTGTTTGAATCTGAGGTAAAAAATATAAAAAAAAAAAGTGAATAAAACAGATAATTTCAAAAATATTTTTTAAAAGTAAGGCGAAATATGGGAAAGATTTAAATTAAAAATTCTCTAAAAATTTTTAATTTAAATCTTTCCCATATTTCGCCTTACTTTTAAGCTCATCAGTACTACAAATAGTTAAATATAGCGCCATACTGACTTCCAAACTAACTTTCAAACTAAACATAAATCTTGATATTAAGTTTATGTTCCGTTTTTATGCTTATACGCTGTAAACGTCAGTTCTTCCTTGTTATCTGTTAAGTATTAAACAAGGACAAACTATATGCTTATAAGCGCTGTAAGCGTAAAACGGAACGCATTCTCGATCATCTTTCATTAAAAATTACTATTGTTTAGAAAATCGAGTTTTTCATGCGTTCCGTTTTTTCATTCAAATTCAGCGATATCAAGAACTTCTTAAAATCAAACTTCATGACAATCAGATAAATTTTTAAAATTTGAATTTTAAACTTCTGAGACAGAATCAAATTCAGTGACCCCCCACAAACCTTTAAAAAAGTTTTCTTTAAGTTTCTTTACTACACAAGGAAGACTCCACAAAGGATTAAAATTATTTACATTAAAGATACTTATAATACTCTATGAGAGTTAACATGAGTATCTTATTTTAGTATTAACAAGTTGTCTATTTCTCTCCTTTATCAGCATTATCATCGTTTTATTTTTCAAAGACTTCTACGATTCAAGCCCTCTTCTTTCGTGTCGATTATGCAATCATTCTCGGCGTAAATTTACGACTATTCGCCGACTGTAGAAACGACTTATCGCAGAAATTCCCATTGATTGACGCTTCTGCGAAAGTCAAGAGGGGTTCGCGGCATCGGTTGGTTTACCGAAGAACCTCACGCGTGTTGTTACAATACATTCGCTCGCGCGAGCGCATTGTTGCTGCGCGGTGTAAACGTTGGTGCACAATACGAATCGAGTTCCATTGAGACAATTGGCAATTTTCGACGCCGAATATCCGTCGGAAGCGGCGGTAGCGCCCACGGCCACTCACTTGGCAAATTGAAGTCCAGACAATAAATTGCAAACTGTCGTATGCTATGGTACCGCACGTACGATGCGTCGTACGCGTGCGTTACGCGCACTACACACGCACGCGTCCGCGACGCGACGCGTAGCAGGCCGCGTAGTTTCTTCCTTCTCCCTCTTCTTTCTTCTGCCTTCGCTCTTTCGCTATTTCGCCCTTCCTCCCCGGTGTCTCCCTTACACCCTTCTCTCTCTCTCTCTCTCTCTCTCTCTCTCTCTCTCTCTCCTTCACTCTGTCGTCGACATAAGGACCGCACGCAGTAACATTACCATTCGGTCGCAGACGAATTCATTGGCTATGCCAGGGCGTCTTCCGTTCACAGGCAGAACGGTTGTCAGTCCGGTTTGACCCGACTTAGATTGTACGTGAGGAGTTGTTACAGTCGGCACTCACATCAAACGCATCCCTCGATCGCATACATCGTACGAAACGGTTCCTCCTTATCGTAACGGAACGGAGAAAACTTCTTTATCAGGAGAGTAGTGCGTAGCGATTGCGCTTCTTTGCTTGTTCAACAATATATATCGGCATGTATCGAAAGATATTGTAACACTCTTTCAGTCTACAAAGACTTTCTCCAAGCCAAATTAAACTGAACTTTTTGTATAACTTTTGATCATTTTTCATAGCTGATCATTAATTGAAACTGATATTGTTTTTTTTTTATTGTTTGTTAACAGATTTGCGTTATCTAAATTCGTGTTTTTAAAAAATATAAATAAATACAAAATTAATAAGCAAGGTCTTTTGGAAATAAAATTACAAAATGAAACAAGTCTAATAAGAGTTTAGCGCGATCGACGGTTATATTTTAAAGAATAATATAAATTAATACATAAAAACAATTAAACATTTCACACTTGAGCCATTTTCAGCAAATTGAATAGTAGGCTGACGAAGGTAGACGAAAGTTACCGATACCGATACACACTTACCACTTTATTTTTAGACAATATTTCTTAAACAAAGGTAAAAATAAAATTTTAAAAACATAGTACAAAAAAGTCTCTTCTATCAGATAGTATAATCAGTTTTTGTAATACTGTTTGCAACTTTGCAATAATTAATTTTTTCGTAAGATAAGCAAAAATGAGCGTCTGGCAAAATAGGCTCCAAAACTGACGCAGTAGGCAGTAATTACTACGTATTACTATTATTTTTCTTTTACAGGAATTATCTGTATAAAGTACCTACAAGTGAATATATACAAGATCTTTCAAAATCTTTTCACTTTGTAAAACATTTTTATTGAATTATGCATATTTACTTTATACTATTCTACAAGATGTAAATATGTAAAGCGATAGTTTTTTAGCGAAAGATTTTTCCATATATGCACGATTGCCTTCAGCTCCAATAGGGCTATTTGACATTATAAAGTAACATTATAAAGATTAAGTTAGCTCATAATCTGTTTTACAGACAGGTGTGGCGGTTTACGCTGCACCTCAATTTTATATTTAAAATTGTATTGTGAAAATCGTACTAAGAAAAAGTATACAATATAAATACAACTGATTTAGGAAACTACAAGCATTTAAAACGACGTAATATTATCAATAATATAGTCACTATTATTTGAACAACGCAATTTGAAAAGAAAATCGTAAGAATTTCGTTTTCGCATTCATAGAATCCGTTTTTAGCTGATTTGGTATAGAAATAAACCACAAATATATGAATTATGAATTTGTACTTCTTTAATTAAAGTTAAACAGACAATTATGAATTTGTACTTCTTTAATTAAAGTTAAACAGATCATGATTTTATTAGTAAAGTGCAATAGTTAGTTTTTGAAAAATAAGAGAATGTCGTTTTTGAAGACCTATGTCACTATTTTGACGACTTTCCTCTATACAGTACGATTTAAAGTGAGATTTTTGTCTCACGTTTCGCTGACAATTGTTGAAAATTGTTCAGCAAATTGAGATTTGTTGAAATGGCTTTTTTTTTACGTTTTATAGTGATAGAAAAAATTTTTGCGATAGAGGTAACTTTTCCTATTGTTATTAACAATTTTCAGAAAAAATTGTCAAATGCGTGTGTTAATGTGTATCATTTAATAATTTAATTATAAAAAGAGAAAGAAACATTTAAATAATAAATTATAAATAGTAAAATGACTTTATTTATATCCTTTTTCACCAATATGAACTTGTCAATTATTCAACTCAAGAATGTCAGCGATACGTGAAACAAAAACCATATATTATTATGTTTTATAAAGCATAATAATATTTACGATCTTTTCTACGTATATCAAGTTTTACGCTAAAGAGATAAGATAATGTAATTGACGCGTATCTTTCAACGCGATTGCTAAATTGCAGCAACCGACGATGACAACAGCTGGGCTCTCCGATACTCGCGATTGACTCATCGACGCTGATGTTTTATCAGCAATTTGAATTCCCATACTACCTGTGCGTCATTATGGTGAGTCGAAAAAGATTCTCACCAAGGGCACATTAAAATATAGGGGCCGTGCGATGCGCATCTGCCTACCTCCATGCGCAATTACGAACGAAGTTGGCATTGTGTGCCGATACATCGCATTGACTCGTCCCGCGGTATCCATGAAGAGACGATCTTACATGTGCGTGTACATTGTGTATATGCGTATGTTTGTACGTCGCATCGAATCGCACTCTATCTCTCTTTTCATGGGGGTTTATTCA